CAGGTCCCCGAAACGCCCGAGGGCGGGAAGACACCCCATTTTTACCTCATGATTTTGTTGACGGATAGTCAGGAGCCCTCTCCGGAGCGGGAGCCGAGGAGGTGGTTGTCATCGGGAGGGCCTGCAGCACGCCGGGAGACGCGGCTCGGCTTTGGGAGAGGCTTCTGGGGACTGCCTGCCCCCCAAATTATGGAGGCAAGGTGGTGAGTAGGGGCTGCTCACCCCGGGGTTGGGAGAGCAGGAGAGGGAATGGCCACCAGCAAAGCTGGGGGGGCCACAGAGGCAGACGTCCACGTTCAGCGTGGGATTTGAGGGTGCAGATACCTCCCCTTTAACGTTGGTTATGTTTGTTTCTCCACGGGCAGCAGCTCCTTTTCTGGGAAACTTTTTGGCACACAGATTTTACTTATACAGAGACCCATGCTGGAACAGGGTATGCTCTTCTGGGCAGCTGAAGCAAGGAAGTGCAGGTAAATGTAACTCCAGCATTAAAGCCCATCTTCTCAGACACACTAAAATCCTTCCAGAGGCCGTTTCCACGTTCGATGAGGAGGCATGTGGGCCTACTGTGAGGGAAAGGTGGATTGAAAAATAAGAGCAGCAGCCAAGGGCAGGGAGGGCTGTAGGTCTTTGTGCACTGACCTGTGGGACAGCCCAAGGTGGGAAAACAGTGCTGGAAAAAATAAAAGCATCAGAGAGGTGCAGGGAGGTGTATGAGGAAGCAGCAGGTGGCTGGGGGTGGGTACATGGTGGGACAAGAGATCAGGTGCAAGAATTTTTTATTCAAACTTGCTTTCTACTGCAGCTGCCTGGGCTCATGCTGGACCAACAAAGCTCATTTATGGTCAGAGCTGTAAGTGTAGAAGGAACCTCTACAATAGAGCAAGGTATTTTGACAGAAAATGGGCTTCAGAGCAAGTCAGTAAGTAATTGGGAATGGGTGCACATTAATTGTAAGCCCATATTTCTTTCCCAGGGCCAAAATCTATGATCCACAGCAGCAACCTGGTGTGTAGCAAGTGGGAGACTCACAAGGGGAGTCCTGGAAGAAGACCGTAAAGGATGTAGGTTGTTACCTGATCACAGTCATGTGGTGAGTCTTGTGTTACATCTGCCACCACTTAGGTGACATACATGCCTAATGCCCATCTGAAAAGAACCCCTTCTCCCAAACCTGCTCTGCCTCTGTGTTTTAAATTCACACTTTCTCACTCGCAAGCACCACCAAGGAGGTTTGGTTTTTTCCTCCTGTCCTTCTCACACCTCCCTGTCTTGATCCTTTCCTGGGATACTGAGCATATAGTTACATTGGACAAACAGGTATCGGTTTTGGTATGACTCATTTTACATATTTATGTACATCTTATTTTACAATAAGAATTCTAGTTAAAGAGGCTCCCTGCGACATCAGGGGAATGCCAGGTGAGGTGTAAACAACCAACAGCTTCCTGGGCCTTCACAGTGCCCGTGGTCCCTATGGAGACAAACACTACCATTTCTACGGAAAGTTTGAATCGTCTTAACATCACAAGAAAACACCTAGTCAGGGATTTTACAAATATTTCCAAACAACCAACACAGATGAGTCAGAACTCAAGAGTTTTGAGCAGGAAGGACTTGATTGAATTTAGAGAATATTCTTAGACACAGATGTATCAGAGAGGGGGAATGAAACTGCAGGAATTGGGATGTTTCCAGTCAAAAGCATGTCAGTGAGGAATAAACAGACCCCCTCCAACAGATGTGCATATAGCAAGAGACAGGATTATAGTTTACGGCATGTATCTGAACATCTCAGGACCCAGTCAAATACAGTCCTTTATAGGTGGATGCTGCTCCACGAGTAGGTTTGTAGACCAGGCCGATCTTAACCCATTCACAAGGGAACAAGAGTGATGGCAGCCAGAAAAATCTTTCTTGAATTACTTGGGACTCAGCAAACAAACGTTAAGGGTGAAACGGCCAACGTTAACCCACGCAGATGTTTGTTTCACGGGGAAGCATGCCAGTTTCTGAGGGAAGCGGCTCTGGCTGCCCGCAGGAGAAGCCATGTTGGGTGCCTCTGCCGCAGGCCCTGCACGGGGAGGGGGGGGATCGGTTTTGTTTGCAGGACTGCGGGGACAACTGCGGGTTTGTACAGAGGCCGCCTTTCAGGCCGGTTAAGAACCGCGCTGGAGGCTTTTCATCAGGCCGCGCCATGCGCCCCTCGCCGGACCCAAGCCGGGAAGGGGGACCAGCGTCCCCGCGGAACGGCGGGCCCCGGCGCCGGCGAGTAGGGGGACGGCGGCCGGAGGACACCGCGCGGCGATTCCGGCCGCCGCCGGAACGTTTCTTCGCTGCCGAGGGGAGAAACTTCCCGCGCTGCACCGCGGCGGCTCTGCAAGATGGCGGCGCCCGCTGGCCGCTGCCTGTGGA